CCCCATTTGCCGGTCTTGGGGGCCTAAGGAATGCATTAACTGGTTGTATGCAAGCCAAAAATATTGCAGCAATTCCAAATTTAACATGTGTTGAGCTAACATGAAAACCACGAAGCTCAGCAACCGCAAAAAGAAGTGCAAGAAAAACTATTGATAACCCTGAGTATTGCATGTAAACGTGAATTTTGTACCAACCACCGCCCTTCAAATGTTTCAAGTACCTGGCTGCCAATATACCTCCAGGAAGCAAAATGCCCCATGCAAGAAACATCATGAAACCGTGCACAGCCAAAACTGGAAGTAAATCCTGCTCTGCTTCTGCAGAACCACGCATCAGCTGAACTAATATAGGCCTGGTACTAGTCAGCGTATGCATATTCCTCTCACTAAGATGTCCATTACTCCATGTACTACCCATTGCCCATATGACTTTTAGCGGAGTTGTGGGATCAATGATGTCGTTACATTCTGGCCTTTTGCCCCTACTACAAGATGGAACCAAGGGACGAGTAAATTCCAAAGTAATAATTTCGTTTTCTGTTTTGCATCTCACATGTGTCAAATTCTCGTTTGTAAGATGTATACCCAAGGCATCCTGTGCATCAATCCAATAAGTGTTAACACGACCAACACCATTGTCATCAACCCATCCCACATATGTGTAACTGTTCACCATTCCACTGCCAAATCCTATAGCAAGATAACCACTCTTTTTCTCACCACGAGCAGCAATAGATATTGAATCCTTTGATAATGTCCAAAAGAAGGTAACCTGTTGATCATCAAGAACAACACTGTTGTTATACATGTCAGATAGACCCCCATCCACAACCTCTACTCTCCAACCCATTTTCTTCTCATACACTGAATGATAGTAAACCTGATCAGGAGTGTTCCTGTCAGGAGCCCAAATTAGTTCTGTAGGACTGGCCTGAACTCCATGAGCCTCAGGACCTCCGGCATAAATAGTCTCAGTCAGATTCCTCAGAGTGGCATTCCCGCCAATGGGGTCGGAAGTAACATAAAGCGCAACATCATGCCCTGACTGTATGGAAAACGTGACCGGCACCCCTCTTTCCACTCTCAACACAGGAGCTTCCTTTTTGTTGATGTAAATAACCTTGGCTGGATTTGGAGGGTCAGGATAATGCAGTGCTGGGCCAGTCGTAACAACCAAAGGAACTTTGGCATCAGCAATGATGATATCTTGATCCTCTTTATCAGCAGCATCCAAGGGACCGTTACACTCATTGACATGCTGAGAAACATTGAGAACCAAATGGCCAAAAGATTCAAAGGGAAGACCCCCATGATTCTGAGGAAGATAATACGGCAAAACAGTATCAGGAGCTCTAATCTTTCCCAAAGCCCAAATAACAGTCATGTTAGCAAATCGATCAACACGGTGATCATATTTGGCATCAACCGGACTCAAAGGTCTCCTGTATCTAACCAATGAAACCCCATCACTCCTATGACCATAAATCAACCTTGTATCATTCACCAAGCCAACTCTATTCGGCCCCTCATAGATTGAATCAGGACAAACCCCTTCAACAGTTCCATCTTCACTGTTTTTCACACACTCACTATACTTGGTGATGAAGAAGTCATCCACAAATGGCAAACCATCTTCCTTAAATCCAGTAACTGCCACATCAGCACCAACCATGAGTTCTGCATCAGTGGCGTTAGGGTTAGCCCAACCAAAAGCCATGTAATTCATAACCCCAGTGGCACCCTCCAACCCAATCTCAACTATATCCTCTTTTGGTTTCAAACTCCAACGAAACCTAAAATCCTTCGACAGAACCTTACAATTATCAAACATAGTTGGCTCTGTATGAACACTTACATTCACTTTCTTCTCTCCGTCGCTCCCGGGCGGAGACTCCGCCGTAGAGGTGAGATTTTGAACCAGAATATGACCGAAATCGGAGGCGCTCGGAACATCCCAAACAGTAAGAACAGGGATCATGTCCCACGTGATATTTGCCATCAATTGTACTACGAACGTGGAATTTGCGTATGTATGATTAAGCTTGTGATCTGAAACGATGAATCCGGTGGTGAGGTTATCGAAATCAGGAGCGAGTGCGCCCCACCAATGCACATCGACGCCAGAAAGCATATCAAATTGAGAAACCCTAAAAGAACAATCATCAATGATCTTGATATGGCCTCTGAGCTGATGCTGAACCATAATGAAGTCGGATTCGAAATCGACGAAAGAACTGCTCCGGGTGCATTTCGGAGCAAAATCTGCATATCCGAAGTACAACAAGAATAAGAAGATGAAGATAGTTTCACGAAGCATATGGAAGAGATCCGAATAAAGTTAAGCGGATAGTGTTCGGATTATGGTGGATCCGAATCGCCGCTTGTGAACGTGATGGTGATCGGAGAGTTTAAAGTTAGTTGCGATCGCCGTCGTCGAATCCAGGCGGTAGTTTTTTCCTTTATTTGTTTTTTGAAAAAAAAATAAGAAGGAAAAAGAAGA